TCCGTGAGATGGGTGCCCGCAGTGCTGGCAGACCAGCGAGGCATCCGGTGCCATTGAGGTAATTCCAGCTTTACAGAGCAGCTGAACAACGTTTTTCAGGTCACAGCTTCAACACAGACGCTTAAGGATCGCCAACAGGTTTTTCGCTCTAGCTCTTGCCTTCGTGGGCATACGCAATATTGCCGTTTGCATTTTAAATTATTTATTTTTCATAAAAAAAGAATGCCAAGAACAGACCTTGGTAAAACGCCCGCTTATCTTCTGGAAAAACTTGTCTGAGCTCTGTGTGATGTGTTTGTGTGGCGTGGGTGAACAGGACAAAATACTGCATTATACTAAGCCTTTTTTCAGATATGCAGTAGCTGCTGGTGGATAGTTACTTAAGGCTATGTCACTTAGAAGGCGGCACTTTTTCTACTAACATGAACTCATGACAGGGCATAATATTTTTATAACATTACATCAGGTATTTAATTTCAAGACTGAACCAGTTGAGTTGAAGTGGGAGAGTGAAAATGCGATCTGCATTGCCATCTACTGGATTTCTAAGGAAGTACAAAATATAATTTCATACATTTAAAGTTATTGAAAATGCAACTGCATGAAAGGGACACAAATATTTATAAAATTTTTATAAAATCTGTGCAGCCAGAGCCTATATATGCAAATGCACTACTTTGAAGCTTTCTACTCTTCAGCATATATGTGAAAATATTTTAGATAGGTATTTAAAACAGCAAAATAGAATTTAATACATTAATTTGAAACAGAAAAATATGCAAAATTACAGCCTTGGATTATAGTTTTAGTAGTTAAAATAATAAGAAATTCAATAATAAGAATATAAATATGCATCTTGGTCCAGCTCCAAAGAACCCAACAACATAAATGATAATTTCTCTGTGGCTTGGTGTAGCACTTTTTGATCAATCAATGTTATAAATGTCCTTGATGTTCATTGTTTGTCTTCCTAATTATATCAGTGAGCTGTTTAAAAGGTTTAAGTTATGTAAGGTATTTATCACAAGTGCTCTCCAAAGCTTCCAGTTTTTGCTAAGTACATGAAAATGTGAATAAAGCTTTGAAGAATTGCCTATCAGTAATTTTTTTACTAGTTTACACTGTTCAAGTAAAATAATGAATATTCAAATGAAGATATGTTACATGTATAACACAACTGAAGCAGGGTTTTTTGTGAAATGCCTTTGGAAAAAAAGGGAGGAGGAAGCCATCATGTTTCCTTGGAGAAAAAAACAGTAGCAACCTAAACATATGTTGAGTTATATGTATATTGTGAAATCGAGCTGGTTAAGTCTTTCCCTGTAGACATGCAAAATGTATTTTGGATTTGTGCTCTGTGGGTGGTGGTGCTGACCACTTATGGCGCAGTGAAAGTCCTGAGGCTGATGTCCCTCTCCAAGCAGCTCAGTCTTTTCCAGTATTTTAACAACAGAAGAGGGTGGTTTAGTCACAGGAGATGTGATGTGCCCAAAGATTCTCCCATAGTGGGATCTTTTTTTGATCACGCATATGTGCCATGCCTGTGAGTGTGAAATAGCAGCACCCTCCCCAGACACGTCAGCTCGTGCGGATGCAGCTCTTTTGTTCAGAGTGGTGGGAGGTCTGCACAAGTGAAGTACTGCAATAATATCTCAGAGGAAGCTAATCCTGCAAGTGCCCTTCAGTAGATGAACCAGATCAATGTTTGGGAGCATGATGAAAAATCACATGGGTATATGCATATATTCTTCTTGCACAGTAGTCTGGTTGCTCTTTCTGTTAGAGGGGGTTGAATTTGCCTCAAGGGTCTGCCAAGCCATTATATGCTGTTATTAGGTCTTTAGTCTAATCTTGAGGTCCTTGTCTACATTAAGGAATATTTAATAGATTTAAATTTTCCTTGCATCTGATGAAAATGTGCTCAATAGCTCAATATGCCCAAGGTGCTCAATAGTTAAGGAGCAAGTCAAAATCTACCACCTGTATTTTAGTTTTTGCTTAATATATTTCTATATACATCAAAACTATTGAGAGGGATTTGCTTGCCACCATTATAGAATAGCAAGAGATACAGAGATCCAGCTTTTTCCTCAAAAAGATAAGAAAGGTGGTTAAAAAAAGAGCCAGTTGAACCAGACCTGCTGTGAGCTGGGTAAGATTCTTTCTGCTCTGTGAATTGTGCAGTCATTTTCTCTAATTCTATTCTTGCTGTCGATAAAATGTCAGCATTTCCTCAGTAGTGCCGTGTATGCTATGCAAGATAAAGGTTTCCAATCCCTCATAGTAAAATGTGTCTAACATGGGTGTAGAAATTAACAGATCTATAAACAAGTGATACTTATTTATAAAGAACTTAATCTAATCTCTCTTAAATTTTGCCCAGTTTGGTAGCACGTTCATCTACCCCTTGGTGCATGCAGAAGGAGAAAACATAATTGTATTAATATTCTTCCTAACCTTCATTTGATATAGAAAACGTTTAAATGTAGATGGTCTAATTGGAAAGGAACAGGAAGAGGAGCGGTACTTGCTGCTATCTTCCCTTTCCACATTAGTGAACAACCAGGGCTTTTGTTTTTACTTTAGTGTGGGAGAACTGAATTTACTTTCCATGGTTTCATTTTTAATAGAATATTTGATGTAATAAGAAATTTAGCTACATACCTCTCCATTATTTAATTGCCTTCTTTAAGCTGGTTATTATAAAAATTCCTGAATGTCTTGAGGTTTTTTATGCATTAAAAGTGAGAAGCTGTGTAAGATAAGTTAATTCATATATGTAATCCAGTTATATGGCCAAAAATATTTAGTATTTCTCCAATATTTTACCTAATTCTTTGACCTACTTTTCTCATCTTACTCAATACTGCAAAGGTTTTTTAAGCAGGTTAGTAAAAAATTAAAACAAAACAAAACCCCTTGCTGCTCCTGCCAAGCTTTTTATTTGCATAAAGCAGTACGTAATAATGCATCATGTTTGTAGTTAGGGAGAATAGATTATTTGGCTGCTTAGCTTCTGGTGTTGCTGCATTCTCACTAGAATGTGTCTGTGTGAAATTACTGGTTTTAGTGTGAGAGCTGGTTGATTTATGCATTTACAAACAATAATATACCTGTCCAACTGAATTATGTGAATTATGTATGATGATTCCTGTAAGTTGAATTGTCATTTTTAGGCTTGAATATAATATTAAAGTAAAAATATCCACTTCACCAAAAAAGTATTTCATACAATGAACACAGATTACTTACATATTAAAACTCCAGATAAGTTCACTGTACAAACACACATGTGCACACACACACACAAAAGTCCACAGAAACATGGAAATTGTGTCACTAAAAGTAGACTGGTTATATGATGTGAGTGTCAGTGCTAACTAAGGAAGTAGGTAGCTCAAAGCAGGGAGAAGAGATAAAGGTTTTCAGCAAGACCTCCATAGACAACTCACCTACTGTTTCCATTTATTTACTCAAGATTCCCTGTTTCTATTCATAATCTCTGTAGCTGCTCATGATTTTTAAATGTTATCCATGGAAATGTAGATTTGAAGCAACACCTGGAAGAGCCTGGGTTCTACATAGCATGGTGCAAAGACCAAGTTTTTCCCTTCTGGACCCTCCTCCTTAGGCAGTCTGAGGTCTTTGTCCAAGCTCATGGCAATAAAGGTCAGGAATTGTGGTGCTGTCCTGATGCACCTACAGAATTGTTTCTTTCTTGCATGATTTGATGACTAGTAAAATAGCTAACAGCTAAAATACAATCCTTTCAAATTAAGCTTGAATGAAATTAAATTAATTAAATGAAACTTCATGGCAGCTGAGCTTGGTGCTGGTTTAAATAGGGTTATCCAGCTCTTTACTGGTCCCTTTAATAGTTGGCTTTGGTTGCTCATGTCCTACATTCCTCCCAAGTCTTAGGCCACTGAGAGGGATCTAGTGAACGTTGCAATTGGTGTCTAAGAAGCAGTTGCAGTATGCCGCCAGGATTGGGAGAGTATCTGTATTGCCCCTTTTGGAACTGCCCAGAGCTTTGGATGGTTTCCCTCTGAAATGTCGTCTTTGCCATGAAGGTTTCATAGAAACAAACAGGAGACCATGTTTTTCCCCAGGGAAAATATAATAATGATAAGAAATATTTTTTTCACTAAGCATTATGGATTATAATTATTATTCCTGAGTTATAGAAGGGGGAATGAAGGCCAGGGGGCTGTGTTCTCTTTCCTGAGCTGTGATTAGGAGATGGGTGGGTTGTGTAACAGCATGCTTAACCAGATGGTGAACATTGGGTCAGTGTGTTTGTTATTTGGGGCAGCTGGAGGAGAAGTGCTGCTTCTTTGAACACCAGTCTTCATCATAGGGATCTCTGTACCTGCTAATGCTTCTATATATTCCCACAGCTAAGCTGGAAGAAATATCTGTAATGAGGGATAGCAAACCATAAGTAGTCTCTCATGTTTAACAAGAGACAAACACAACAACAAACACAACAGATTGTTAATATATAAATTTGAAATAAAAAGATGGTCTCATATTTTTGTAAGGTCAGTGGGATTGTAGACCATGTTTTGAAATATTTGCTACGTATGTTAATAATCTAGATTTTGATAGCATTGGGACTCAGATTGATTTACATATTTTTATTACACCTGATGTATAAATTAAGTTGGTTAAAAAGATGCAAATTTGATCACACAATTATTTCTTTTATTTGTGGTAGACAATTTTGTTTACTATATGCATTTGGATAAATTTCTGGTCAAGTGAAATAATTTGCTTGTAATCTTTGAAGTAAATCTTCAAGAATAAAGACGTCTATTACTTTTTTTCCTTTGGATTGCCCTGTACAGTCTTTTGTGTGCAGTGTGTATTTGATATGAGGTGCATATAGTATTGTGAACAGGCCCAGAATATTAGGTGGAGTTTCAAACTGAAAGAAATACAGAGTAGTAGTCTTTCCTCCTATTCGTGCTATATAAACTTTTTTCTCATCTATGCAGGAGGTTGCATCAACAATTTGAAAGCTATAAAGAGCAAGTAAGAAAGATAGGGGAAGAAGCTCGCCGTTACCAGGGAGAGCACAAGGATGATGCTCCAACATGTGGAATCTGTCATAAAACAAAGTTTGCAGATGGTTGTGGCCATTTATGCTCTTATTGCCGGACCAAGTTCTGTGCTCGATGTGGAGGCCGTGTCTCTCTGCGATCAAACAATGTAAGTCTTCTGACATGTACTCTTAAGAAAAAGCCTCCTTGACATTGTCATGCTGCAGATTGTTCACCTTAAGTTTGGCATTTCATGATTAAATTTGGCGTTTCATTGCTTCATTAAGAGGTGTGTATCATACAGGTAAATCAATGTAAAATCGTACAAGTGAAAGAAATGTATTTAATGACTGCCAGGGTACTTGGGAATCACAGAGTTAATTAAAGCAAAATAATAATCATGTCTGGCTCTATGGAGTGCCAGCTTTTAGAAAATATACTAGTTTTTCATAGAATAGAAGAAGAAACCCTTTTTCTCAGGTACATCTCCACATGAATAAATTTTTATTGAAGCCTTATTTCATATTACATTTTTTATTTTCATGGAGCTTTTCATAAACAATTACAGATTTCTTTTACAGGAAACCAATCCATTTTTTTAGTTAAAAAAACCCCAAACAACCACTTATGTTAGCGCAAGGAAAGTGTTTTGCCAATTTATTTAGAATTTATTTAAAGAATTAAACTCCAGATTAGTCTGGATTAAGCATCCTACTTTCAGGCAGGTGAACTGAATAGTTCCCCCTCTGATCTGCATGAGTTAGCTGCAGTAGCTTTCCACAGAACCAAATGATATCCAAGAGTATCCTCTGGTCAGTCAGTCCCTTCCAAGCCTCTGAGTATTCTCTTGTACCTGAGCAGTAGGATCTGAATTTGGAATACTGTTATCCAGTGATTATTTTTGGCTGGTCATCAAGGACTATGGTGTGTTATAAAACATTTTAGACATCTCTTTTTAGTACATGAATAGTTTTGTTTTCTGTCATGAGATGAGGCAACTTTCTCATATGGTTTTAAGATGCCCGGCTTCTGTAAATTTATAGGTGCTCTTGGTATCAACAAAAATTCACTTAAAAGTGAGCACAGATTTTATAGCAGATAATCATGCTCACAAGAGAACTAGTTTGTGGCCTTTTCACTCTCCTTAAGATGGACATTAGCTGAATAGGCCTTCGAAATTTCATGTAAACAAAAAATAACCCCTGAAAAAGATGAATTTCATGGTTATTTTAGAAGTTTTTCATAGCCTTGATGTACCTGTAAGCCCATTAAATTAAATTCACTTTCTGAAGAAGACTATATAGGTGAATTGAACAAAAATTTGCATGTATTAACATTAGTAAAACCAGATGCATTACATTGTATCACCTGTAGATGGTGTCATTAGAGCAAGTCTCTGAAAATATAGTTTGATGTATTACATTATTCTATTAATGAGTGCACGAGATACAGCTTAAATTTATTCAGAAAAAAAATATGAATATATGTTTTAGCCATTTTTTACCCACTATTTCAAGCTACAGAAATGGAAGATTGTAATTTCATTTGTAACTCGCATTTTGTTTCGTATATTGTTTATGCTTCTGTGGGTCAGGGTGGGAAAACATGTTTTTAACATATGCAGCGATGTCATCTTTTTATTTAAAGCTCTTTTTTTTTCTTAATTTTGTGGTTTTGTCTCTTCATAGAGAGTTATTAGAATTGCATTTCTTTGAATTCTGTCGATTAATACTTGCCTATTTTATTCTTTATCTCTCCTCTTTTTCTTTTCTCTTTTTATTCTGCTTCCTTGGATGCTTTCCCAAAGGAGGACAAAGTGGTTAGAATCCATGCTTTTTATAATTTATTATTATAATGTTGTTAGTTAACTGGGATATATATTAATGCAAAAAAACTGAACTAAAATTTCATAATCGTCTACAGGGGAGGGGGGGAAAACAGGAATCCTGACACCCAGGCCCTACATCCCTTAGCTGAACATAGGTCTTAAAGACAGCTCAACAAGGAAACTCAAGACTGTCGTCAAAATTATGACAATCAAAGAAATTAAGAACTGAGAATTATTTATAGGCTAAAAAGTAGAGAAGCCAATGAAGTGCAATAAAAATTTTATTTCATAAATACATCTTTAGTTAACACTTTTGACTTTTTGCATGCAAGGTCCTTCCATCAGCTTCAGGAAATCTAATTTAGTCTTTTAATTGTAATTTTACATTGTTTTACATGGTTTGCTGTGTTACACTTCTGGCTGCAGAAGAAATTCAGGGAAATTTCTTGTAACATCAGCTTTTTGATGGACATTTTGAATAATATATACAGGCAAACAAACTGGACATAAGTATAGAGAGCATGGTGAAATGAATCCTTTTTGAATGCATAGTTATAATTTCAAAAATTGGCAGAATTTTTAGGATCAAGTACATATTTAGCAGTATTGCCTGTGCCTTGTCTCAAATAGGTGAGGGTGGTTCCCTGTTCATCCCTGCACCCTGGGCATGGCATCAGGGCTGGCAGTACTTGAGCAGAACAGTGCACATGCATTTACCACCTCTGCTGGGGCACTTCTGCAAAAGGTGGTAGTCCAGATTTTTAATTGGGGGATTAAGTGTGGAAATTAGCTAGCTTTTCTGGCACCTCAGCTGAAACAAGTATAAATTAATTACAACCCAGTGTAGTTTTTGATGTGTTCTTTGTTGAGTTATGCTTGTGTTATGGTGTTATGCCCCCATTTAAATACTAGCATGCTTGTAACCTGAAATTTAGTATTATTCAGTACCTGAAGAAGATTATTTCTATCGCATTAGAGTATTGCAGTAGGTTTTTAATATGTCATGAATAGTCATTTAATATGAATAGTGCAGTCCACTGGACTGAAGTACTCTGAAGATGTATTCTGAAGATATATCTGACTCATTTGGATTGTCCTAAATTAAATTAATTACATCCTTATTATTTGCACTTGTCTTAACTTAGGTTTTACTAAAGGTTTAGGTTAGTTTAGGTGTTGAACTCCAGGCTTCCACATGCCAAGAAAATGCCCTGATAGTAATGTGTGAAGATAAATTCATATGGTGTGATAAAGCTGAGCTACATCTCTTTAACAGCTATGAAGTTAATGGTAGTCAGAGGGAAAATACCCAATAACTAGTCCTGAATGTGTGAGAAACATGGGGGGGAGCACTTCTTTTAAGTACCATTGCTTTAGCAGTGCCTCTCTCTGAAAGTTAATGGAATATACAGAATTAATTAGTTTCAAAATATTCATACACACCTAGAAATAGCATGTTTTATAACAGAACAATTGATATAATTAAAATAGAGGAACATGAGGAAAATACTATTTCTTAGTTATTTTTAGCAGCTCAACATTTCTAACTAATTGCATATGGCAAGTTTCATATCAGTAAAACTTTTAAAACATATTTATCCCTTAGTGTCCGTATGGATTTTTACCACAATAAATTATACTAATACAAAACACCTGCACCAAGTTTTTTTCAAGTTAAGGGTGCATCATTTGGAAAGGATGATGAAGTGTGAATTACCAAATAGTCAACTCAGGAAAAGTCAAGTTAACCAAGATCCAAGGTGTTTCCTGTAGAGTTGGAGAATTAAGGATACCTCACCTGCAGTGTTGTTTCCCATGCATTACCCATCTTTGACAAATACAAACTGTGACAGCCACAAAGAAAGTCAGTCAGAGGGTGATCCAGGAAATGGAGAGCTGCTCGTGTGAGAGAAGGCTAGAGAGATTAAGGGGACAAGAGCTAAAGCAATTACAGTTTATACCTGGAAGTATGGAATTGGTATGTAGAAATGCAGAAAATTTAAACAATAGGAATAGAGGACAGTGAATACATGAGACCAAATGTGTTTAACTTGGCCCCAAACACTCCTGGCTTGAAAAAAAATGTTTACAAGCTTTGGAGTAAAGCCTTGAGAATTTATCTTATGTGGCTTATTGGAAAGAAAAAGAGCCAAATAAAACTTTAAAGGCTAAATTTAATGAGGTTAGGAAAGGATTTATGTGATGTGGTTGCTGCTTGTGGCTGTAGGGCAATGTATAAGGTCCCTAAGAGGTCCTTGCAGCTCTTGATTGTAGCTAAATATTTAAAAAATGTAATGCTTTGAAGCTGTTCTTGACCTTTACAAGTAAGTGCCAAATATTTCTGAAGAATTTTTAAAAATATATATATATATAGCAGAACTTAATATGTTCTCTCATCATTTAAAATCATAAAGGTCATCCCAAAACACCTTGCATTGAGAGTTAATAGAGATCAGTAGTAGGCTGATCAAAATATTACAAATTGATTGGCAATAACTGGCATATTCTAGTTCCTAGTGACTTACATGAATTTCTGTTATTCTTGTTCTAATATGTCAAAATCCATACTCAAATAAGTTTCTTAAGTTCTTTCATGTTTTTTGAGTATTGGTTAGCTCTGTACTTCTCACCTGAGTTTGCTCTCCTTTCATATAGTTGCAGGCAGGCCACATTTAATGGGTTTAATTCAATTTTATGTGAGATAACATTTCAGAAGGAAGCCAGGTAGGTTTCTTTTTTTTTTTTTTAAGAGAAAGCTGACACTTCTATTTTGGCAGAATATTCTAAGTGGTTTTAGCTCCTATAGAGGGCTTACACTTTCACTTCAAATCCTTTTGTTTATGTTCTGTACAGCAAGATTTTAATTGCAAAAATGGTAGTAGGTTTAAGTTACTTCTTCCCTCTATTCCATTCATTCTCCCTCATGATGTGAAATATTTTGGTTTTTAGGGCAGTGGAGAAAGTCAGCAAAATGTCCAACTAGTTGTTGTCCATGGTTTGGTAAGGGGTGGGAAGGGCCCAACCACCTCAGTCCTCCTGATGGCCTGGCTGCCACTGCTTCCTCTGTTCATCCCTGCTATGGTATGACAGCCTTGTAAAGCAGAAAAATGACTTAAAATACAACTTTTTCTTTTTTTTTTCTTTTCTCATTCCTGTAAAACCTTTTCACAGTATTTGGTTAGGTAATGCAAAAATATGCATTTCCTTTGTGATCACCTGATACATGCTTCTTTCTCTTTACAGAAGAGGAGATACATTTCAGGGTATGAAAATGAATGAGTAAATGTAGTTTCTTTGGATCAAAATTCAAGTATTTTGTGAGGTGCTGTGGGTGGATTGAA